TGGACGAGATATGTGATATTAGAATAGCACTTCTTGATGAAAAATGCAAAATAGACACAAAACCGTATCAAGACAAAATAGATACAATTGTCCAAGAAAAGAACGTTAAAATCGATCAAATCAAAAACTCAAAAAATTGATCACTTCAAAAATCCAACACGATGAGAAATTTGAAAAAGAAAACAATAAAAGTTTGTTTATAAATAGATATTTATAATATCAATTTACTATTATGATAATAAAATAAAACACGTTTAAAAGATTAAAAAAAGAAGAAGGAACCAATGAAAAAGAAATAACAGAGTAAAAACCAGTTTCACAAGAAAAGACGAGTGAGAGTTTATTTAATAATGTAACACTGAAATTTAAAGTAATATTAAAATGATGTAAAAAATATAATAATTCACACTATTTTAATTTTAATAGTACAGCGTTATTGTTTAAAAATAAATCATTTAAAGAACAATTAATAAATTAGAAGAAATAAATAGATACTATCAAAAAGAAATACAACCACATGAAAAAGAAAGAAATGACCGCTTTGTGAAACTTGTGATGGACACATACATGTATTATGGAGATCCAGAGAAGATTAATAATTATCAAGAATGCGTCAAAGCAATTAACAAACTTCCAGAAATTAAATTGAGCCAAAGCGACTTGGATGAAATAGCAGTGCTTGGAAATAGTGTAGTGCAGAACTTTGGAGAACTTGAAGGTGTTGTTCAAAAAGTAGTTGACAAGTGTGCAGATAGAGATTCTAACGAAACACTTGAGATCTTGACTTACTTCTTACGGTGTTTAATTTCGTCATCCCATTTACTTAAAACGGACCCAAAAACAGCGTTCTACAGTGGATTTATGTTGTCTGAACTTTCATACAAATGCAAGGCGTTTAGAGATATAGTCCAACTGATACTACGAAGTGTCTCGCCATGTTTAAATTCAGTCTATGTGAAAAAAGAAGGAAATGATTATAAGATATTGATGGGGTATTTGAGTGACGAGAACGGGTTACAGTATATCGAGCGGATTGAGAAGATATTTAGAATATACTGAGCTTCATGATGAGCGAAGCGGGGAACGTTGAGTCGATATTTGATGTTATGATGACTTCAATGTACATGGTTTATGATAACAAGATAAAAGTTGGAGCGAACGTAGATGTCTTAGGGGTGATGCTAGACGCATTTTTTGATATGTGTTACGATCGGTTAAAACATTTAGAACTGATGAACTCTTTTATTGAGACGTTTAAAGACTATTTTGAAGTCATGAAAACCGTTTGGGGAATGGAAGGAAACGACAAACAAAAAATGCTGACTCGACGACTCGCTTCCAATTTAAAGAAGATCGAGCAGAATAAAGTCGTGAACGAAAAGTCGTTAACTCTTGAAGAAGAATATATGAAGTACTTGGAAGCAAACAATAGACAGCCACGGGTGTGGGAAGGGGCAATAGACATTAATAGTAAGTAATCTTTTTAGAGTTTTTGAAGTATTGTTAATATACTATACTTTGTTAATATATAACACTATATTAAACTATAAGAGTAATAATTGTGATTCTTATTAATTGTTAATACTGTTAATATTATTTGTGTTTGTTTTATTTGAATGTGTAAAAAATTTCAGTTACTAACGCAATTGGATCAATAGAGTCGATTAGTATTTAATTAATCACAATGCCATTTATTTTAAATTTATTAAACTTTTGTATATTAATACTTAAAATAACGACTTAGTTTTTTTGATATATTTATACTTAAATATATAGACCTTTTGTTGTTTTAACTTTAAAGGCTCATGTAATGTTTTTTGACATTACATACTTCTAAAAACCGAATGTGTATTTTATAAATAGAAAATATATTGGTTTTATATCATTTATAATTAATTTGTCGAAAAAATAAATTAAAATGGTAGTAAAGTGGTATTAAAAATTGAAATGTTTATTCTTGTGTTTAAGGTATGATGTATTAAATGTATCGATCATGAATATAAAAAAGTCGTTTATTTTATATTTACAATTATATTTAATGTTAGATACAAATATTGATAATTGTGAATTAAATTGTATAAAAACAAAATAATATAACACTTATACAAGAGTTGACAAATATATATTGATAAATTTTTAAAATAAACAACATTAAAATATGGATATTGTTTTAACACTGCAAATTTATGATTAATTAAAAAATATTTGAAAAAATATAATATTAATTTTTTTACTCAAACTACAGTAAAACCTCCAAAGAGCGGTACCTCCAAAGAGTGGGTTCTCTCAAGAGCGGGCATTTTTTAGACCGAAACTAAAAATAGAGTTCTCTATCGAGCGGTTTTTAAGGTTTGATTGGCTAAAAATGCCCGCTCTTGAGAGAAC